TTGACTGCTTGAGAAGCAACGTAGAAGTATTAGATCAGAATAGAAACATCAATTCAATTCATCTTGTTATTTTTATAATTAAGTGACAACAACATGCTACCAATTTAAGAGTATCAATTTTCGAAATCAGACTACTTTGATCTTTAGATTGAACGAATTCCCCATTTGAACTTTTAAACTCCAATATCATATTAAGTCTTGAATTGGTAATAATTTAAAATGGTTAATCTTGCCCTTGCTTGAGAGTGGCAGTATAAACTTATATATATTGGTTATTCTTTTCATATGTAAGCAAAACGTGTGGTGAGAATAGAGGTCCCACCTTTTTATTCAAGCACAAGAGAATATGTCGAGGATGCTTTTGTTTAAGTGAATATCGAAACGAAGTTATGGACTTTCCTTATTTGGTGTACAATAACAAATTTATGAAATCTCCTTCAAGCAGCAAGTCAAAATGTTACGAAAAGTCAGAGAGATACTATACTAAACATATGATGACAAGGAATATCGTGACTATGATGTGCAACTTTTTTAGCTCTTGCATTATACTTAATGGGAAGAATTGATTTATTATATGTAACTTTACTTGGAGGTCAAGTCGAACGCCCTCCTAAATTTTTATTATATTTAGCGAGTCAGATTATTTGTATGTTCAGTAAATTCAATTCGACCTAACCATCTATAAATATCATATATCCTTTTTCTTAGTTATGTTAGTGATGTCTAATCTAATATGTTCCTTATATTAATGCTAATAGAGCCATTCTTTCTATCAAGTTTTTTGACAAATATATTCAATAGATAATTTCAACTATTAATTTAGAAGAATTTAATTAGAGTTATTTCATTAAAACGCTTTAAATTTTCAAAGTGATTCTCACGATAAATGAATTCTACATTTATCAATTATAGATAGAGCAGTTTGGTAGAGATTTTAATCTAATTAAAATCAATTTTTTGATCGTTATTTCATTATTTCAATCGTTATTTTTGAATTTTTATTCTCACAGGTAGAACCCACTTTACTTCTAACAGTAAAAAAAATAATTAACAAAATCCCCATCAAATAAGCACATATATTAAAAAGAAAAAAAGAAGTTTGACTAAATAAACATATCTTCAATAAAGAATTTTAGAAGAAGGCCAGGTCATACTTAATTTTCTTTTTCCCTTTCTGCCCCTGTTTAGTCAAAGAGAATGCTTGGCTGCAACTTGCTAATGCAAACAATTTAATTAAAAAATAAAATGGGGAAATGTTTCATTAATTAGCATTAAATGACGTAGATATGGACCCACCCGGGACCTAAGTATGCCTGTCACCTAAATGTAAGTCTTTAGGTAACAAATTAATTACGAAACGACCAAAAGTGAAATTTGTCTTTGGCTAATTAACCACGACAATGACTTCAACTACTTTTACTCATGTTTTCGAAGGATAAAGTTGACAAAATAATATCTAGACATTAAAGTTTTCTTTATTTTCTATTTCAAAATTTGAAATTGAAAAAAAAAGAGAGAGAGAGAGAGAGGATAAAATACCATTTCATTTTTTTACGTACAAGTCTCGTAAAATATGGTTGAATTTTTTCAATTATTTTCCTTAATTGGAACATAATAGTGTTTTTTTTTTCAATTATTTTTTAGAAAATAACATAGTTTTTGAATAAAATAAATAATCTTATGATTTTCTCCCAATCCTTCTATCTCTACCAGCTACTGTACATCGTCGACTGTCATAGGCACTATAAGCATTGTAATGCTGCGGCATTGGAGCACCATTAACTTTCATGGTGCTCCCACGAGCTAAAAACTCTAGTTTCGTTATTATTTTCAACCATTCCACATCTTCTTACGATGTGACTCGAGTAGTTATCAATTTTTTTGTTAAATGTAGCATCTTCGACACATTTTATCGTATAAATGAAACTCTTTTTTTTTTGAAATAGAATCTTCCATTATTAAAATAAAAATAAAAATAGTAAACTTCGGCACATTTTAGAATACTAGTCAAAGTTGAAGGTGCATTGCACGTTATTCTAAAATACTTTATAAGTGATGTAAAAGTAATGTTTGGTACCAATTTGGTGAAGGATTTGATGAGTTTCGGATGAATTAAAGAAAATAAAATTTAGCATAGAAATTTAAGAGAAAAAAATTATACTCAAATTGTACTCTCAAAACTTAATTTCTATGATTGAAATTTTTTTTAATGATGAAACACTGTAAATGAGTAATCTTTTTATATTACATTTGATATATAAAAACTAATTATTAATACATAAATTTAAACACTCATTAAAATTTCTAGATTCATGAATATGAATAAATTCATCAAGTGAAAATTCATTGAATTTAGATTAATGTGAATATTAATTAATTGAGAATTAATAACACAAATTTCATAAACGACAATAATTTTGTAGTATTTATTACATATCGAAAAACGAAAAGTAAGATATTAATGAAATAATTGAATTGTAGGGGTTTAAAATTATCCAAAAAATATTCTCCCGTGATGTGATACTTTAATATATTATAGATTAATGAAACTCCATTTAGAAATTAGTAAATCGATTATGCGTAACAAAACCTGTCTGCCACAAAATGATGTTTGCATATGTCGCAAATAGAAAAGTTCGAGGAATATGTGAATTTCACAACTGTAACTCATTTCCTTTGAATAGCTTTGAGTAGGCTTCAATGACATGTTATCCACGCCTTTCAAAATATAAATGAATAAGTAGAAGTTCAATTAACAGAATAAGAGAAGAAAAAGGGATCGATCATAAAATGGTTGACCGTACGATGGATGACCTCAGAATCAAATGATTATCTATGGTGAGCGAACTGTTCTACCGCTTGTTTGGTACGAATTTTGTTAATTAATTTTTTGACCGTTAGAGATAAAGTGAGTCCAACATGTAAAAGAAGAATTCAAAAATGACGGGTAGAATAGTGAAATAACGATCAAAAAATTGATTTTAATTGAATTTTAAACCTTAACAAACATGCTCTTAGAATTGATAGGGATTAAAATAATCTAATAATCAAGTGTAATTAGTATTCGAATTAAATTAATTGGAGGTGTCTATCCTTCTTTATTCAACTGTATAAAATTAATACTTGAGTTCACCAATTTATGAATTAAGAAAGAATTAGTTAATGAATTACATAAATTTACTTCCAAGTGAATAAAAACTGGGAATTTCACTTATAAGTTTAAAGAAAAAACTTATGACTAAAGGAAAAAAGGAAACTGAATTGAAGCAACAAATTCAAATAAATGTATAATTTCCAAGAAAAAGAAAATAAGAAAACACAATACAGACAAAAAAGAGATGAAAGGAGAAGGAAACAAAGGGGAAAATGACTAAAATGGTAACTGTATAGTTTCAAGGTAAAGCACTGGGCTGCAAGAGCATTACAGAAAGCTGAAAAAGGAAAAATGGACTACCCCTCTGCCCTCTGCCTTTGGTACGTTCTTGTGTAAATTCAAATTTCCAACAAATTAATACACTGGTTTTGCAGGCAGCTCTCCATTCAAACCCGGCTTTATTGAGAAAATTTCATAACACAAGATTTGTCAAATATCTCTATAATTTGATTAGTTCGTTGGATACCGAGTCACCGGACAATATATTTGTATATGAATCATTAAAAACAACTAAGTCGATCGAAATTTGTTCAAATCTCACATATCTAATTTTTCGAAACTAAATTTAGGGCCCGTTTGGTAATGATTTTGAGAATTGATTTTTTGACATTAGGAGAAAAGTGGGGGCCACACGTGAGTAAATAAGTCAAAAATGACTGCTGCAATAGTGAAATAACGATCAAAAAATTAATTTTTTATGGTGAAAAAACACTAACAAATGGGGCCTTGGCCTCTTAGAGCTTGTTTGGGAGTGATTCTGAGAATTAATTTTTTGATCGTTAGGAGAAAAGTGGAGTCTACCTGTGCGAGAAGAAATCAAATATGACGGTTGAAATAGTGAAATAACGATCCAAAAATCAATTTTTTGAGCCAAAAAATTACTCCCAAACAGGCTATTAATTTGTGATGGTACACAAAATTTTGAAGTCCATGAGACAATTTAGTGATGAATTAAGACAGTTTTGATTAACAGGGACTTTTTATACACGAATAATAAAAAGTCAGGACTAATTTGCTATTAGGGAAATAGAGTATAGAACAGCGGTGAAATTATCCACAAATTTTTCTTTGTAAATTTGAAATCCCTTGTAGTTAGATATATATAACAGACTAATTCTTATTTGATAAACTTCCCTTGTATTTGGACATATCCCTAAATCAAAATGTTTTATCAGGATTGAATCGAAGTCGAACCGATACTTAAAATATCAAAATATATACTACGTGAAATTTATAACAATATATGATTATTTCCATGTCACAAATTTAAAGTAATTACAAATTAATAATTTTTTATTTGGTTCGATTCCTAATTTTTCCAATTAAATTGATTGACATGATCCGATTCAATTTTAATAACATTAATACTTCCATTTGCCACCCACCTTTTATAAGTTAATTAAAACTAATTTGTTTTTACGGGCCATTATTTATTACCGACATGTGAGAATAGTCACTAATATTTACTCTTGTCACTTAGCAGAATAGAGAGAGAATGATGGGTTGGTGGGGAAGTTACTGGATTTGCCAGCAAGCCCCCCATACGTGTCCAGCCATCTGGTTGGAGTTTTAGGGTTTTGAGGAGATTTTTTGTTTGTTTGGCAATTCTAATTTCTGTTTATTTCAGAAGTCAATTTCAAGATTATGAAAAAAAGAAAAGATACTATTTAAGCACCAATTGAAACATAGTAATGTCAGCCGTCTAATTTTTTAGACCTCTTAAATGTACTTATCTAAAAAGTTTGATCACTTTAGTAAAAATTTAGTTGATAGCAGTGTAGATAATAGTATTACTCAGTTAAATAAAATAAGTGAGGAGAGAAGTTTATTAGAATTTGGAAAACGGGGTTAGGAAATCAAATTGGTAACAGTCCAGGATTAATTGCATTGTTTTGGGTTAGCAAACATGGGAAGTAGTTGTAGCAGTACACAATATATACACAGATGGCATGAGCAGAGCGAGCAGTAGAAGCCCTGAGGCCACTCCCCGCCTCTCCTCCACCATTCTCCTCCCCTCCTTGGTAATAGTATAAGTTTTGCAGGCGCCGCTCTTCCCCTAATATCCTGGCCATAGACTTTTGTACTCTATCTCTACAAATATATAGAGATCCTATCAGAAATTCAAATCAACAAAATATAAACATGGTGGGGTCTCTCTCTCTCTCTAAACCCAATCTTTTAATTTTCAGCCCTAAATTGATGAATTTTTGTTGCAGTTGGATAATTCATCAGAGCTTCCCCGGTGGCTTTTGGTCCTCTTGACGGACAAGTTCTTCAACGCCTGCTTAATTCATGAGGATGTTAAGAAGAATGAAAAGAATGTCTTCTGCTTGGACTGCTGTGAAGGCCTTTGCCCTCACTGTCTCCCTCGTCATCGCTCTCACCGCCTTTTACAGGTTTCCTTTCATAATTCTCTTAATAATCCCATTTTTTCTTTTCAAATTCACTGAAGTTTTTAAAATCCTGTCTTAAGATCATTTTACAATGTGCAGGTACAAATTTATGTTCTCTTGAAAATACAAAATTTCCATTAACTCTCCAATACTGAAATCTGATGAATTCTGGGTTGATTTGCAGATAAGAAGATACGTTTATCATGATGTTATAAGGCTAGGGGATGCTGAGAAATTGATGGATTGTGCTCATGTCCAAGTAAGTAGTATAATATAATGATATAGAAAGATTTGAAGCATTATTATTGTTCTTGTAATGCGTTTTCTTCAACTTTTTCTGCAGTCTTACACTACAAACAGCGCAAAAGTAGTATTTTTAAATCAAAGACCACAGACAAGGCCATCAAGAGTGTCTGGCAACCTCTGTATCACCTGTGACAGAGCCCTGCAAGACTCTTACCTATTCTGCTCTCTGTGTTGCAAGGTCCATACGTTTCTGTCTCTCTCTCTCTCTCTCACACACACACACTAGAAAATTTCTTGGATTTTCACTGACCAACAAATTCTGATGGTAACCCATTTCATATTTTTAGTTGTTTTTGTAATTTTATTTTTTTTTTAATTTCTGCAGCTTCAACATGTACTGAGAACTGGGGGCAAGCTCTCGAAGTATATTCGCAATTATGAGCTTATTGCGTGGCCA